GTGCCCTTAAAGGGAAGGGGTGTGCCCTTCCTAATCCCTTCCCTCCATGCTGCTACCTGGAACCTGAGTGCAATGGTGGGAGTCTCGCAATCACCGTGGACCAGGAGCACCATGATGGAGGAGGGCACTGAAAGCCGCCTGGGTCTCTGCGGACTGCGGAGCCACCTTGCTAGCTCTGGATCCCCAACCTCCAGATTTCTATATGTAAGAGCCACAATGCCCATCTTCTTTAAAACACGCCATTCTGGGTTTTCTGTCAAATACATCTAACTAGTTTTAACTGATATATGCAATAACATTCACCAAATGTGTATTTACTTGCTTAGTATTGATTTCTGCAGCAGACCATGAGCTCTGAGAGAAGAGGCCTCTTGTCTGCCTTGGTCACTTCTGTATCCTCAGCACTTACTACAGGGGCCAGCCCAGAGAAGGCTCCCAAGAGGCATCATGGGACCAACCAGGGTCAGGGATCAGGATTAGGACTCAGTGTATGACCAGGATCAGGGCTCAGTATGTGACCAGGATCAGGGCTTAGAGTGTGACCAGGGTGAGGACTCAGTGTGAGACCAGGGTCAGGACACAGTGTGTGACCAGGATCAGGGCTTAGAGTGTGACCAGAGTGAGGACTCAGTATGTGACCAGGATCAGGGCTTAGAGTGTGACCAGGGTGAGGACTCGGTGTGTGACCAGGGTCAGGACTCAGTGTGTGACCAGGATCAGGGCTCAGAGTGTGACCAGGATCAGGGCTTAGAGTGTGACCAGGGTGAGGACTCAGTATGTGACCAGGGTCAGGACTCAGTGTGCGACCAGGGTCAGGGCTTAGAGTGTGACCAGGGTGGGGACTCAGCATGTGACCAGGGTCAGGACTCAGTGTGTGACCAGGATCAGGGCTCAGAGCGTGACCAGGGTCAGGACTCAGTATGCGACCAGGGTCAGGGCTCAGAGTGTGAGCAGGGTCAGAACTCAGTGTGTGACCAGGCTCAGGGCACAGCATGTGACCAGGATCAGGGCTCAGAGTATGATCAGGATCAGGGCTCAGTGTGTGACCAGGGTCAGGGCTCAGTATGTGACCAGGGTAAGGGCTGAGTGTGACCAGGCTCAGGGCACAGCATGTGACCAGGGTCAGGGCTCAGAGTATGATCAGGATCAGGGCTCAGTGTGTGACCAGGGTCAGGGCTCAGTTGGGACTACATTATGGGTTGACCAGTGATAGCCTATAACACAAGAAAGTAGCGTTCATTGCCAATAGGGAGGTGAATGTCAACCACGGTGGGCATCTTTTAGTGGACAAGAAGGGTCCATTCCTTCCACCTGGAATGAACATTTACGAAGACTTCTCAGAGGTGGCATTGAGATGGACCCAGGATTTGTAGGGTAGAAGGAAGGGTTCCAAGGAGGGGCCATCTGAGTAAAGTCTGCCATGCAAAGCAAATGATGCCCTTTGCACCCATGGAGGAAGAGGGTGGCAGGGCACTGGGCTAGACCGCAGAGGGCAGCGGCTCCGTGGCTCAAGAGCCTGGGCATCTTCTGCAGACAGAAGTTCCTGACACACTGCTGGCCCCACGGTAAAACCTGAAAACCAGGAAAACTCCCACCCATTGTGCCAGTGACAAAGGTGTCGGCTCTCCACGGTGCTGGGCTTCCCTGGGAGCGCTGGGAGCAGCACGCCGTCCAGGTCATGCCACTACTTCAGTATCTTGCTTCTGGAAAAGGCTTTTACCCACAAGGGTCAGGAGGAAGCCGTGGAAGAGCTGGAGGAGGGAGGGAGGTCCAGACCAGCGGGGCCCCGGGGGCTGGGGCCACCCGCCCTCTCCTGCTGTCCCTGACGGCCACCCAAGCTGTCTGGGTGTGGCTTGTGCCCTGCCTAACAGGCCCAGGAGTGGGTGCTGGGCCCCAAGGGACCAAGAGCCAAAGGAGGTGGTGGACGGAGGAGGATCTGAGACCAGGAAGTGCTCAGGGCCGCCGGGGGTGAAGCAGGGGCACAGCCCGTTGGGGAGAACGGGCGGGTTCTGTCTCATTGACTCGGCAGCAGCAGCAGCATCGTGAATGCGTTTTTTTGTTGTTATTTTATGCTTATATAAGAAAAATATATTTTTGGAAGAGAAATCAACAGGTACAAAACGACACCCGATCCCACACAGGACCCAGTAACAAATGTGCACATAGATACCGTACAAGAGGGACAAAGCTGGGGAGGAATGACTCCAGGCCAATGGGACATGGTTCCCTCGCCCAGAATCAAGAGGACCACAGGAGCCAGCCCTCCGAGTCCACACGCCCACGAAGGAGGGGCTTCCAGGAGTCATGCCAGGGCACACTCTGGGGGCCTTCTTGGCACCCAGTGAAGCCACATTCCAGGGTCCCAAGGTGCCCGTCAGGGAAGCTGGGCCCCCACGCCTCTTCCTGCCGCTCTGCCCGCCGGCCGCTGCAGAGGTGCTGGCTCGTCCTCCACGATGCTCACCGGGCTGGTTGGAGCGCAGGAAGCTGAGCAGAGGCCGGACTCTGCTGGCGTCCCTCTGTTCCTCAGCTGCGTGGTCCCTGAGTAGACTTCTGTCCAGGCCCCCGGGGGGCCGGCTCCCGGAAGCCCTTCCTCACACGTCACGGAGCCGCACAGACAATGGCAGCGACAGAAGGAGCAAGCACAGGTGGATGGCACTGGTGTCCTCTCTGGCTCCACCGAGGCCCCGTCTCTGCCCACCTCTCCCTCAGTCCCTCTTAGAAGGACTAGAGTCCCCGCTGTGCCTGCGGCCTCCAGGGCCCAGACTCTAGGGCTCCTCCTCCACCTTCAAGATCATCCCTGAGAAGACCTCCGGGCCTGGGTGGATGCCCTGGGGGCTGCCCTGGGAGCCTCTGGAGGGCCCATGGGCCTCTCCGCCAGCAGGGGTGCTGTCTGGGGCTGCGGGCGAGGCTCCTCGGGAGGGGTGGGCCTCCACCAGCCTCTCAAGGGTCCGGTTGAGGGCCTCCACGCCATCGGCCAGCCGCTGGCTCTGCTCGGCCAGTTGCTGCAGCAGCAGGTTCTGCTGAGCCATCAGTGCACTCTGCTGCTGGGACCAGGAGGAGAGCAGGGTGCCCTGCCGCTGATGGACGTCCAGCAGCCGCCGCTCAAACTCAGAGGCCTCAGCCACTGCCGGCCTCCCAGAGGGCTGGGGTGGCGCAGAGGAGGGAGGGGAGGGCCGGAAGGCCCCTGTGAACGCAGCTGCTGGGGGTGCCGAGGCCGGGGAAGCGGGTGGGGAGGGCGGGGAGGCTGGCGCAGGGAAGGCTCCTCGGAGGTCCAGGGGGTCGGGCTCGGGCAGGGTTGGCCCATCCAGAGTCCGCAGGGGTAGCCACAGGCAGCTGGGGGCCTCGTCCTCCTCGTCGGCTAGCAGAGGGAGACAGGAAATGTGAGCCCTTGCCAGCAAGGATGGGAGCATCATAGGGAGGGACGGGAGGTGCCAGAAGAGTAAGCTGCATGAGGCCCCCTGCACTCGTAGCTCTGGCCTCACAGTGCCTGCTGCAGCGGGCAGCAGTACCCTAACTAAGAAAGCAGGAGTGAGCCTGGAAGACGTGTTCTAGTAATGCTGAGACTGAAACCTCAGCCTGGTGACTCCAAAGCCTAGGGGTTCACCACCATGCTGCCATCTCCACCCATCCAGCCACCATTCACACATCCCTCCACCCACCCATCCACCCAAGCTGGCCATTATCTATCCACCATCCTGTCTGTCCATCTGTCTACCTATACATACCCACAGACTCACGCACTTGTCTATCTGCCCATCCACTGTCCATCAGTCATCCCTCCACCCTCCCTCCGTCTACCTCCTCCCTTCCTTGCACCCTCCTTCCTCACATTCATCCATCCATCCATCCACCCATCTGTTCATCTCTCAGCCATCCATCCTCGATCCTCTGTCCATCTCAGCCTCTGTCCATCCATCCAGCCATCCACTCACCCATCCACCCGCCCAGCTATATATTTGTTCTTTTTTCCTTCCATCCATCCATCCATCACCTATCCATCCTTGATCCATTCACCCACCTATTTGCTCACACCTCTGTTCATCCATCTGTCCATCCACTCACCCATTCATTCACCTGTAATACCTGCGCTACCCTCTCAATCCCTCAGTCCCTCTGCCCATCCATCCACCCATCCATCTGTCCATCCGTTTGTCTACACACGCACCCATCCACCATGTAGAAGGACGAGGGGTGGACATGAAAGCACCACCTCCCCAGGGCAGCAGGAAAAGCCCTGGACATGGAATCCTGCAGACTGAGCTCCAAAACCAGCTCTGCCTCCTGAGAGCTAGGTGACCTTTAGAAAACCCCTCTTTTCTCTTTTTGGGCCTCAAATTCCTGATCTGCAAATGAAAGGTCTGACTGTAGGGCTCCTAACCCTGACAACTGGCTGAGTGTGGAAGATAAGTCAATAATATTGCAGGGAAAACTAACTGGGCCTGAAATACGGGGCGTGGTGATGTCCTGTCCTGACGGACACTTCCCGACACACTGCAGAGGCAGGTGGGAGTGGGAGAACATCCCTGTGTGGCGGAAACTGTGGCTGTACCTCCAGTCCTGAGCCCCACTCACCTCATCTATGGGACAGGAGTTCCTGATCTGCAATGGAAACAGGGCGACGACAGCAGCACACCAGGGGGCCAGGCCCACAAGCGAGCTGGGAAGAGGTGGGACGGGGGTCTGAGCCTGATGAGGTGTCCATGGACACAGGGGCTGCCCGTGCCACCGCCCCCTCCTGCGCCTCCTCCTGCGCCTCTTACTCCTGCGCCACCTCCTCCTGCGCCTCCTCCTCCTGCGCCTCCTCCTGCGCCACCTCCTCCTGAGCCTCCTCCTCCTGAGCCTCCTCCTGCTCCTCCTCCTCCTGTGCCTCCTCCTCCTGCTCCTCCTCCTCCTGAGCCTCCTCCTCCTGAGCCTCCTCCTGCTCCTCCTCCTCCTGCGCCTCCTCCTCCTGCGCCTCCTCCTCCTGTGCCTCCTCCTCCTGCGCCTCCTCCTGCTCCTCCTCCTGCGCCTCCTCCTGCGCCTCCTCCAGGTCCTCCTCCTCCTGCTCTTCCTCTTGTTCCTCCTCTTGCTTCTCTTCTTCTTCCTCCTCCTCCTCCTCCTCACTGTCACATCTTCCTTCCAAGGTCCAGGCATCTGCCGATCCTTCTGACCTGGCGGCCCCTGGGTGCCCATGGAGGGAGCCACGCTGCTGGTTTGTTGCTTCCCTCTTGAGATGAGGCTTTCTGGTGGTGAGGGCCCCTGGCAGGCATCCCTGCTCGCAGAGTTCTCATTACAGAGAGGCTGGCCCTGGGCTTCCGACAAGTGCACCGTGCTTATCAGTCACAGCCTGCGCTTTCTACTCCAGGAGGCCTGAAAGGACCAAGCCTGGTAGAGAGGTCCCAGGTGGAGGGCCGGGCTGCCCTCCACATGCTGGAAGGTGGCAGGACATGAGCTGAGACAGAGCCCCAAGCTGGCATCAGCAGACACAACCTCCAGCCCTTCCTCCGCCTCCACCCTGCAGGGAGACCCTGGCACAGCCCATTTCCTAACTTGCTGCAGCATCACCAGTGTCATGTGGCCACCCTTGGACATCCTGACTTCTGAGTCTGATGGCCACTGACAGAGAAGCGGGGGGCCAGCAGTGGCCCAGCCTCTACCCTCACACTCACAGTGCACGTTCACTGCACTCTGGCAGAGTGCAGGCCTGGGCTCTTGCGGCCAGCCGGCCGGCCACCCATCCTGTGTGTGGCCTGCCCCATCTGGGCTCTCCAGGCAGGGGAGGGACACTGGGAAGGGACACTGCCCCACCTCCACCTCTTCACCCTGCCCACGTTCCTGCTGTGGTCCACACCACTGCCCCCTCCTACTCTCTCTTCCCCTCTAAGGTGGCCAGAGTCCCCTTTCCAAGCACAGCTTTGGCTTCCCAGAGCCCCCAGGGAATGAGGGCATCGTCCATCCATCTGTCCCCAGCGCCCCTCCCCGCTCCCACCGGCACGGCCCCCACACGGCTGTCCACGCTCCGGCCTGCAGTGTCCTGAACTTGCCTGGGCGGCCCGTCCTTTAGCCTCTGCACACACCGTCCCCTCCGCCAGGACAACTCCTGCTTGCCTTTAAGACGGAGCGGGCACTCTCCTGGGAAGCCCTCGCTGCCTGCTGGCCCAGGGCCCTCCCGGTGCTGGCCCAGACCCCCTGCACCCACCCGAGGATGGCTGCTCTTCGAGGGACAGGCTCGGCAGGGGCCACTTCTGCATGTCAGGGCCTAGCATGGAGCAGAGAGCCAGAGTGGCTGAGGGAGTGGGCGGAGAATGGCTGCCAGGCCCTCTTGCTCTGACGGACAAAGCCCGAGACTGCGTGGCCCAGTCGTGTGCTCACGTGGCAGCCATGGGTCAGCAAGGAGGCCCGGCAGCTGGTCCCCAAGGTGGCTCTAAGCCCATCTCAAGCAAATAAAAGTCTGAAATCTGTCCCCAATCCCTCTGAGCCAGCCCACGTGTCCCAAGCCAGGTTCTGTTCCCTCCAAGCAGGGACGACCCATCCCAGCCTCCAGCCAGGCAAGGCTGGATGCGGCAGGCAGAGGAGGGGGAGAGTCAGCCCTCCCCCGCGGCCAGCCCCCTCCAGGAAGGAGGCAGGAGGCAGACGCCTGCAGCTGCTCCTTGCCCTCCGGAGGAGAAGGGAGGAGCCGCAGAGCTTTCTGTGGGGCAGCTCTGCAAGCGTGTGGCATGCTCCTGGGGAACCACAGCCACCTCAGTGTCCGTGGCACCGAGACCCACCATGCCAGCCCTGCTCATGCTCTTCACTCGCTCCTGCCCTCATGCTCCCGCTGGGCCGGCCAGGCAGGCAGAGGCCCTGGCCCCCCTCAGTGGGGGTGCAGACGAGAGAGGAGGCGGTTCCGACCACCTGGGCACAGACCCCACTGCCCCACCTCTCCCCCCACCAGTCCACTTGCTCCGAGAAGACCCGGTGGGAGAGGCCCTCCCAAGGGCGGCAGGGGCTGGCCTCAGGGGGACAGGATGGAAGGGGCCGTAGGTCGCGGGCTGTCCCCTCACACTGACTTACTTGGTGCCGGCTGGCTCCAGCCAGGAGCTCGCTGGCTGCCTCTGTGTGCGAGGACGCAGCCTCAAGGCTGGCTTCAATACTCTCTGCAAATCAAGACAACAGAAGCAATTACAGAGTGGAGACCCTGAGCACACCCTGAGGACAAGCCCAGGGAGCCCAGGCCCAGGGGCTGTGGGGGGTGGCATCTGTCCCCCAGTGGTCACGGGGCCTCCTGAGAAGCAGAGGCTGCAGGGATGGGTACAGGTGGCCTGCCTGGCATGGGCACTGGCTGGCCAGAGCCACCAAGACAGAGGGCCAGGCAGCACCCTTCGTGGCAGGGGCCGCTCACTCAGAGAAGGACAGAGGCTGGGCTCTGCGCCACCTCTGCACCCCTGGGTGGCTCGGCCCCCACCCTGGCCACGGCCTCTGAGAGGCTGAGCTTGGCCTCCGTGCATCTCACAGAGCTCCTGTGAGGACAGCCGGGACCGGGTCTGTGCACACCTTTCTCTAGACACAGGGCGCTGGGCGTTAGCACCTGTTGGCCTGCAGCATCAGGCACGGACCAGCCGGTTCTAACTACGGCGGGGGGCTGAGTGGGGTCCAGGGAGTTCAGGCGGGGGCCTGGAGAGGGCGTCAACAAGCCCCCGAGATGTCATACCAGTAGCACACCTGAGCCGCCCTGATGAGGCCCAGGGCAGCCCCAGGAAACCAGAGGATCCCACTCAGCATCAGGTAAAATGCGCCACGCCCCTTCAAGGCGCACTGTGAGCGTAGGGCCAGGCCAGGGGCATGGGGGCAGTGGGGCATTGAGACTGCACACGCGGCCACAGTAGGAACTAGGTTTGAATTCAGGTGAGGGCTCTGAGCAACTCTCCATGCTGTTCCCTCTTCTACCCACGGGAAGGTGCCCAGCGCACCCAGACACAGGGCTGGGAGCCAGCACAGGACCTGCACTCAGTGGAGACCAGCGCTGTGGCTGCTGGCAGATACGTCAGACGCAAACACACATTAAGTACATTAATGCCTCAAGGAGGAGAGACAGGCCTCCAAATTCACGCATTTTGGTGAGACTTTGGAGGCAGAAATAGTTTAATTCAAATCATACACCTCCCATGGGGCACTGAGCACCTGGGCACCACCCAAGTGGAGCGCGGCACAGGGGCTGGAGGCTCGGGGCAGAGAAGGTCCCCCTACATGCAGGCACGGCCCACACAGCGCCTCCTTGGCCCAGTGGGTGTGCTCCAAGGGGCAGTCCACCTGGGGCCCCTCCAGCCCCAGCCTGGGTGCGGTGGGGAGGGCCAGGGCACCCCCACTTCTCTCACATGGGCAGCGTTGGCCCCCTAGAAGAACAGAACTCTCCATAGTCCTGCCCCATAGAGGGGCACTGCCCTCTGCAGCCAGCCCGGAAGAGAGCGTAGGGAAGGCAGAACCAGAAGTTTGGTTACTCCGTCCATGGCCACCACTGTGGCAGGACCAGCCCTGCAGGCAGGAGGCGTCCACCCAGGGCCCTGCCTCTGCCCCTGCCCCTGCCCACTCACGTGCCAACGAGCCACCGTGCACCCCCAGACCCGGCAGCAGAAGCCTGGTCTCGCTCCCGTCACGGGAAGAGGTGGAAGCAGAGAGCGAGAAGAGCTGCCACTGGGAACAGAAGGCAGCAGTGTCTGGGCCAGCGCTGGGGGCCACACTCCCAGTTGGGTCTTTGTACTGCAACCACACACAGCCTGGGCTGCACCGGGACCTGCCCTCAGACTTGGACAAAGCCCGATCCTGGTATGCACCAAGCCTGGGCCCTGGGGACACTCTGAGCCTGACTCTGCCAGTAACACACCACCCAGCGGCGTGAGTGAGGCCACAGCCGAGGCCCCCACGGACCAGAGAATAATGTCTTGGAGGCCCAGGGCTCAGGGCACAGGCTGCAGGCCCAGGGCTGCACCATGGGCGCTCCTAGCCTGCACAGCACTTCCCAGGTCAGACTCAGCTCTACCCTGGGAGCTCCATCGCACAAGAGACCCCAGCTCCCACTGGCTCCTCCTCCCGCAGCCCCCACCAGTGACCTGCAGCACCCACTGCTCACGGCCAGCCAGCCTTCGCCTCGTCTCGAAGATCCCAGGCCGGCCGGGGGCAGCTCTGCAGGGCCACAGGCCCCCAGCTAACTTTAGTCTCGGCACAGGAGGCACTCAGAGAGAGCTGCCCTAAACGGCCTCTACTCCGGGGGTCTACGGGGCACCTAGACTCTGGGCCAGGCCTCCAGGGGCCAAAGAGAACCCCCTTCAGCACCACTCCCCCCAACATGTGTAGGAAGCAGGTGGATGTACCCCAAGGCACAGCCACCATGGGGCCTCAGGGGAGATGGCCCCGGCAGAAGCCCCTGCACTCTGTCCACTGGCTGTCCCCACCCTCAGCAGCCATGCTATGCCCCTGCAGCCCTTACTCTGCTCAAGCCACAGGCCAGTGCTGACCCAGAGGGAGGAGCTGGCGGGCCTGGGCCTCCAGGGGTGGTCTCTACCCCTGGCAAATCAGGCTTTGCAGCCACTTTCCTGCCCCTTATCTCAGTTCCACCAGGGGAAGTCCTGCCCCCATTCCACTCTCACTCAGTCATTCAACAAACGTCAGTGACTGTCAGCACTGTGCCAGGCCACTCCCAGGAGGAACGCACAGCACTAAGGGACCAGTCAGCCAGCTGCCCTGTCAGAGGAGAGCCCAGGGCCATGGGGCCAGGGTGGGCAGGGACATCTGGGCTGTCTGGGCCTCACCACAGGGGGTTTGCTGAGCCAGCACAGGCAATAGCTAGGACAAACACAGACACCAAGTTCCTGCCACACTCCCAGGCTGGGGACTCGTGGGACGGGTCTGAGCACCAAGGGCCATACCAGTGCCACCACCGCCAGCCCCTTCTTGGCACCCACAGTGTGCACACTCTGCCCTGCAGTACCCACAACCTGGCGTGGCTCTGGCTGTAGGAGAGCGGGCTGGCCTCCGCCAAGCCTCAGAGGTGGCCCCGCCCCAGCCATCGCCCCCTCTGGCGAGGCCAGCCCAGACGGCGCATCCAGGGCCCACACATCTGCCCATCGGCGCGGTGCGGGCTCGCCCTGTGCTGCCCCGCCCACTGGAAGTCCTGCTGCAGCCATCTGTGTGGGTGTTTGTGGCCCCTGCTTGTGCCCAGGAAGTTGAGTCTTGCGGTCCACTTGGTGGCCCTCAGAGGGAGCTGGTCCTGCTCCCAGCTTTGTCCTCAAAGTTCTTCAAGCAGCTCCCAAAGAAGGAAGGGTCCCGCGGGGCTCGGCTTCGAGGAGGGGTGGAGACGATGCGCAGAGAGCGGAGATGTGCAGCGGTGTCTCGAGGAGGAGGAGCAGCTGGAGCAGGCGCAGAAGGAGGTGGAGGCAGGAGGGAGCCGGCATGGCCCCTGGGGCAGGTGTCTGCGTGGCAGGAAGGCCCAGCCAACACCTCATGCCGCCCTCACCAACCACAGAAACTTCCGGCAAAGAGGGGCCCTGGGGTGGGCCCATGGGCTCAGGGAGGGGTCAGCGTGCCCTGGGAGGCTGAGAGCCACCAGACACCGCCCTGGCCTGGGGGCTGAGTGACCCCAGGAGAAAGGCCCACATGATGAGAGCGCAGGAGGGGTCAGAGAGTGGGCGAGGCCACCCTGTCCCACACCCAGGACAGAGGCGCCAGGCAGCAGGGAGAGGAGCTGAACTGGGCCGCTGACGGCAGAATGGCCCTGGCCTCCAGGCCGTGGGAGGCTAGGAGCGTTCGGGCGAGTCCCCTCGACTTTAGCTCCGTGATGAACGAGGGTCCCTGATGTCTCTGGAGGCCCTTGGCTACACTACGTCATCTGGGGGCAACCTCAGAAGGACCCCGAGCTCAGGCCTGGGATGAACCTGAGCCCTGTTCCTTCACTCCCAAGGTGGACAGGCCCCTTCCCGGCCCTGAGCCTCAGTTTCCCCATCTAGAAGCAGATGGGCCAAGTGGGAGATGACCGTTTCCACGGTCCCTAGCGCTCCCTGAGGGTCTTGCTCTTGGTGGTCTCACACTGGCAGCCCTGGGCATGGGCTGTGGGAGGGGCCCACTTACTTGGCAGGGGCTCAGTGGCCTGGCTCTCGCCTGGGGGGGCCGGGGCTGAGAAGGTCTCGGCCACCATGCGCTCGACGGGCGTGAGGATGAGGCCAGGGGCTGGGCTGCCCTCAGCCGGGGCCCGCGGGCACTCTGCCAGTTTCTTGCGCACCACTCCGCGCAGGTCCCGCCACTTGTGCTTGAGATCGCCTAGGTCCCTCCGGCAGTAGCCCAGTGCGTTCACGGCCTGCAGGATCTTGTTCCACACGCGGTGCTTCCGGGCAGGCGTGCCCCGCAGCGCCCCAAACAGCAGCGGGTAGTGGCGCGTCACCCTCTGTACCAGCACCTCTGTCTCCTGGGGGCTGAAGTTCGGCTTGCGTGTCTTGGTGCGGGAGTGGGGGCCCGGTCGCAAGGGCACACAGCCTGGCCCGGGCAGCAGGGCCGCCATGGCCAGCTTGGGGCTGGAGCTCTGCCGGCATGTGGCCTTGCTGCTGCTGGACCCTGGAAAGGCACCAGAGGCTGAGGGGGCGAGCAGGGCCAATGGCTGGCTGGGGAGCAAGGGGACAGGGCCATGGAGAACAGAGCACCACCAGGCTTGTGGCCCAGAACCCTCAATGCCCCTGTAGAGGGGTACAGCAGTCCGTCATCCGTCAGTGCAGGAACACCCATGTCAACACGCAGTGGGCTGCGGGGGCCATGGCTATTCTGGTCCCCAGGTGCCCCACCCTCTTCAGACCCTGACCATGGCTGCTACAGGTCAGCCTTCATCTGTGCCTCTCCCCTCCCCACCTGGGAGGTGGTCCCCCCGATCAGCCCATCACTGAGACTGAGTCACATCTGGGTGACATCTGGAGTGGATAAACCATCCTGCACACCCTACCCTCAGCCAGCCAGAGGCGGAAATGGCTGCAGCCGCCATGCTGAGGCCACCAGGGGTGCACGGGAGCAGGTGGGGTCCTGCGGAGAGGGCGCTGTGAGGAGGACAGCCCGGCCGAGAGCTGTCCAGGCCGCGGAGCAGGGCACGGCGGGAAGCCCGGGCTCTGAGGAAGAGCAAGCGCAAGCCTGCCGGGCAGCAGCCCAGGGGGTGGCATGGCTCACCCTGTCAGGGGCTCCATCCCCGAGCGCAGCAGCTGCACAGCATCGGGAGGAGGACACACGGGAACTCAGTACCTCCATGTTCCTGTTCCCAGCCTGAGAGAGAGTCTCAGGCACAGGAGGGGCCCAAGTGAGGCAACGGTTGGGCCAGGGACAGGGTGGAGGGTGGGCAGGTGAGCCCCCAGGGCCAGGCTGGGGGCTGATCGTCTGCCAAGTGGCTCTGGGCACTGGGTGCCGGTTTCACTCTTCCGGCAGAGGAATAAGAGTTCCCACCCCTCCTGCTCAGGGCACCAGGCTCTCAGGTAGCCACAGGAAAAACCACATGGCTACCTGATGTGGACAGGCCAGACCGGTGGGGCTGAGGCCTTCGTGTGGAGGAAACACGGAAATAGCAGGGACATTGGCCCCCTCCCAGCAATGCCCTGCCCCCACCACACACTCGTCCTGAGACGTGGACGGGGACCATCAGCAGCAGAACCAGGACTCCAAGCTCGCTCACATCGTGGGCCCCACATCTCCAGCACTCTCCACTAAGGTATTCACTGCAGCCACAACCCCTGCCCCAGCCAGGACAGCCTGTCCTCACCCTGGGGAGTCCTTGGGTGGGGAAGAAGACCCAGGGTGGGGGGCATGGAGGCCAGGACTCTAAATAAGCAGAATGGATGGGCCACCCTCTTACACGAGCCTCCCCTGCCCGGGCCTTAGTCAGGGGTTGGGGGAGACCTGGGGAGGTAGGGAGAGAGGGCAGCAGAGGTTCAGACTCCACTACCTGCCCTGAGCCTCAGTCATCGGGAGGCAGCTCTGCCCACACCTGGGGGAACGGGCAGGTGGCTGATTACCTACCGACAGCATCTCCTTGCTCTGACACCACAGTGGCCAAGTCCTTGATGATCTGGTTCACATCCAACAAGTCACTCTGTGGAAACAAGATGACAGCCATGAGGCGCCTGGGGGCTGCAGGTGCAGAGGTCAAGCGCATGGCCATCAGAGAGCGCTAAGGGAGAGCCAAGAACCAGGAATGAGCCCAGAGTCACCTTACAAGTCAGAGTCCAGGCTGGGATCTGAATACTCTCTCCTGACTCCAAGGTCACACCTCAAGCTCTCCGAGCATCCCAGGGCCGAGAGTTCCTCACTAGGCACAGGACCCAGGGCCAGCTCCTGGAGGGCTGCAGTCTAGTGCAGGGCAGTGCCCAACACTGTGCTGCAGGCCTGGCCGGGGGACGAAGAGGCTGTCCCGAGCAGAGCACTCTGTCTACACTGCCTACAGGCCCACGAGTCCTATAGACACTTCACTCTCATACTCACTCGGGGACTCCCTGACAGAAGGGTCCTGCCTTTCCCTTTCTGGATAACGGCACCCAGCATGGGCCAGCACACAGGCGCTGCTCAGTAAATCCTGAAGGAGTGGGACGGATGGATGGATGGATGAGTAGATGGATGGATAGGTGGATGAATGTATGGTTGGAGAAATGAATGGGTTGGTGGATGAATGGATGGTGGGTGAATGGAAAGATGGATGGATGAGTGGGTGGGTGGGTGGCTGGATGGATGGACAGATGGCTAGACGGATGGATAGATGGATGGATGGATGGATGGGTGGATGGATGGATGGTAGACAGGTAGATAAATGGATGAGTGAATAGCTAAATGGACAGGTGGGTAGATGGGTCGATGAATGGATGGTTGGATGGATGAATAGGTAGGTGGATGGACGGATGGACAGATAGCTGGATGGGTGGATGGGTGAGTGGGTGAGTGGATAGATAGTGGATGGATGGATGGTGGATGGGTGGATAAACAGATGGGTAGGTGGATGAATGGGCGGGTAGGTAGACAAATGGATGGATAGGTGGATGAATGGATGGTTGGATCATTGGTTGGATGGATGGATGGATGGATGGATGGGTGGATGGGTAAATGGGTGGATGATAGCCCCACTGCTGTCTAAAGACTGAGTGGCTTTATGAAGCTGGTGAACAGGGTAAGGAGCAAAAACTTAGACCAGGAGAACTTTGGGATATCTCCTCCCCTGGCATGGCATGCTGGCCTCTTGCATCCTTCATGCTGCTCAACTCCATCCTAACTCCATTTGCCCAGCAAAGTAGCAATGATGCTCACGAGGGACACGGTCACACCTCACACAGACCACACGCCTGGAGCTGTGCTGGGGGTACACACACACCACCACCTTTATACCTGGCAGCACCCGTGAGGGGAGGTCACAGCACCCATCTGATAGTGGAAGTTGGGGGGGCTTGAGAGGGTCCATGACCTCAGGGGCCTCTCAGAAAGGGGAGAGCTGGGACTGGCACCTGTGCCCACTGACACAAAGCCTACTCCTTTTCTGACTGCCGCCCTGCAGGGGACAGCTCCTCCACTGCCCAGCCACGTGACCCTCAGCAAAGCCGTTCACCTTGGAGCCAGGTTTCCTCACTAATCACCTGGGTAAAAGCAACCCTTCCCTCCTTGGAGCCTGGCACGTGGCCAGGGTTGAGCCAGGCCAGGGAAGGCTCCTGCACGCCTGTGAGACCAGGAATGGGTATAGGGGGACGCTGCCCAAGCCCACCCACTCTGCAGCTCATTTCGGAGCCTAGATTGATTTCTGCAAGGGTCATTTGACCCCACTGCAAAGTATTACAGGGAAATTAATTTTCTTTTTAGGAGTGTTCTGGGAAATGAAGCAATTAGCATGATCTTAAACTGACACGTGCTATCAATTGCAATTCAATGAGCGGGCTTGAACATGGGGCAGGGAGGGCGGCCACGCTAGGGAACAGGGCCCACGGCCGGGAAGGGGGCGGCCAGTTTGGGGCCTGCAGGTCTTCACTCTGAGGGGTGGCAGCAGATGGGTGGGTTCTGGGAGGTCCCAGGCCTGGGCCCATTTCTGGGATCCATCAAATCCCACTACAGCTTCCCTGGGTGAGGCCGCTGGCTGGGAAGGCCAAACTTAGGTTCCACGCTAAGGTTGAGAAGTCAAGGTCACAAGACGAAGGATGCAGGCTGAGCTAGGCCTTGGACAGACCGGCCCCACCTCCACAGACTTACAGGTCCCGGCCCCAACCCCATCATAGGCTGGCTACTGACTGATCACACACCAGGCTTGACCTTGGCCCCTGAGTGTGCCTGGGCCTGCCGTCAACAGAGGTCTCTCTCACATGAGCCTGGCCTTGGGTGTCCTTGGACTCAGGGACTTGTGGGGGCCTTTCTAGGGAACTCAGTCTCCCCACATTGTATGAACACACCTGCTAGTGTCCCACTTCAGAGGGCAGATGAGGAAACTGAGTCACCAAGGGGTTAGGGGACTCTCCCAAGGACACATGGCTGGTAATGGTTGGAGCCAGCATTACTCCCAAGTTTGGGCTGACCTGATCCAGGTCACTACCACCTGGACCCCACCACGCTGGGTCACTGCTGGTAGCAGGGCACCCCTGGCAGTTATAACACGTGGTCAGCACCCAGGGGCTCCGGGCTTTGCTCGCGGGAAGGTCAGGTGGTGCAGCTGCCTGCACGTGCAGGGTTAACGTGTGCAGGCTGTATCCCTTCACGTGAGCGTGGCAGCTGAGGGCCTCAGCTGGTCAGAGCTGCCTGTGGCCCTGCCCAGCCTACAGGGACACAGCCTTGGCAATGGAGAGGAGAGGGAGGGGTGTCTCTGAGCAGGGACATGAGCCCGGTGCCCCTGGGGGCCCAGGACCCTCAGGCTGCCTGCTAGGGTCGGGGTGGAAGCCAGAGTGGCTGTAAATCACTGTGGCCTGGCCTTGGTGTGAACACAGCTACTGCACTGGGTGCTTCCTGTCTGGAGCAGCATCAACCCCAATAACCTGGGACAGCCCATGAGGGAATGGGGGGTCCGCAGTCCAGCAGGGGAGGCCCCATTTGGAGATGCAGTGGCCAAAGTGACTGCCCAACTCGCTGTAAAATCACTGGCGCCATGGCCGCTGACCAGGGCGTGGCCCCTTCCGAGCAGGAGGTTTCTGTAGCAAGCAGCCCTCCGAACAGTCAGTGCTGTTTGGATGAGGCCGAGGATGGCTGCCAGGAGCAGGCACCGGCTGGCCCTCTCAGGCTGGGGTGCCCTGCCCAGGCCTCTGCTGTCCCCTCAACCACACCAGCAACACCTGCCGGGACCACGCACAGGACCATGTCCAGAGTGGGACAGACAGAGCCAGGTGGGCTGCTGCCAGGGGCTCCCGTCCATTCCTGGCTAGCCGAGCAGAGATGCCTGGGAGTGGCAATAATGCGGTCCACTGGTGTGAGCTGAGACACAAGGTCTTTGCTCGTGCTCCAATGCCCAGGGCACTCTGGGGGCGGTGGAGCCACAGGGGAGGTGGGGCCTTACTTGGGGTGACCCACACTGGACAGTGCCACCAACGGCACCAGCATCTCAGTGTCCAGAACTCACCATCAGTGTTGTGCATTCACTGCCCTCTTGGAAATCAACAGGACCTTCCACATGGACGCCCCTTTTTCATTTGCACTCTCCCTCTTCAAAAAGCCTGAGGCCCAGACTGCTGACCTGCGCCCACCCCTCAGCAGACGGTTCAGCAGAACTTGCAGGAGCAAGGCCAGCCCCACGTCCTCAGCAGACAGCCCCCACTCAGATCCGTGGCCCCTCTGACAAATTTCATTCATCTTGAACAGAAGCTCAGGCTGGGCTCCAGGAACAGCAACGCTAAGAAGCCCCACCTGTGCACTCCAGGAAACACCTTCTGCAGAGGGCCCTCCCCCATGACTCAGACACGATTCAAGGACCCCTTCTGTTCACCCAGGACACGGCCAGGCACAGACCCCCGGGTTCTCAATCTGTGCCTTGTACACGAGGGGCTCAACAGCTTGTCCCCTGACCCGTGGGACAAAAGGCCTGACAACCAACTGTGAGCCCAGCTTCCCTCCCACAAGGCCCGGCCTTGGGTCCCTCAGAGAGCCAGCTGCCCTGGGGCTCGGACACACCCTGGTCCAGCCACCCCTTCACCCCCCTACACCCAGCTCCTTCCAGCTGTGCTCACTCCTGCCAGCAGGAGAGAACCCCTCTTCCTAAGTCTAGAGATGCTCGCCTACCTTACAGCCACAGCTTCTCCTTATGGTGAGAGCCCCCCACCGCCCCCGCAGCATTACTTCCGAACAAAGACTCTCCCTGCTCAAACACATCAGCAAACACGTTGGGGGATGAGTGTGAGGGTGCCCCAGGGCCACGCACTTCAGCTGGTCTGAGGCCGCGGGAGCGAAGGCAGGGTGCTGGGGACACTGTACGGGGACCAGGATGACCAGTAGGCACACTGGAGCCTGACCTTGGCCTTGGGCCACCCTGAAGGGGTCAGCAAGATGTGCCCTCCACCCAGAGCAGACAAGACTGCCAGAAGGGGGTGGCAAGCTTGGACCCGCAGACTCCTCCTGGATCCCCAGCAGCAGCCTCCTACATGATCTCAGGCTGGCTCTGAGGGGCTGCTCAGGGCACGGGGACCCCAGAACCCCAGCTCCTGGCCAGATCAGCCTATGGGCTCAGTCTCCCTCCTGCCAGAAGGATCTGGGGCTGGAGCCTGCGCCCTGCTGACTGTCCTAGTCGTGGAGAGCAGGAAGGCCCTGGATGCAGGGCAGTGCGGTCCCCGCCCTCTGCGCATGGCAGAGTGGGGAGGTTGTGCCTCCTCCTCCAAGAGCACTCTCGGGCACCGGGGCTTCCCATGGAGAACGGACAGGGGCTGTATCTCACTCACCCCAGCACCCAATGCTTGTCTGCAGAACGGACGGGTGATGGGGAGCTGGCCATGCCCCCGTACCTGCAGCAGAACAGGGCAGGTGCAGGCGGCTGGGCTCTGGAGCCGGGCCTGTCACTGACAGGGGGCAGACCTGATGACGGGCCAGGAGAAGGAGGGGTCCATGAAAGGGGGCGCAGATGGGCAGCCTCAGCAGCAGGGAGCAGCACAT